GACTGTGATTTAGGTGCGCTTTGACTGCGCTTTTATTGCACTTTACATGCGCTTTACCTATGCTTTACCTGCACTTTTGACTGCGCTTTTTTGAGTCAAAGCGTAGTCCACGTGGCAAATTTTTAGTAAATGTCTAGTCCAGTGACCGGACCTAATAATTTGCCTCTTTTGGGACGGCTTTCTTATTACTTCTTAAAGCAGTTTTTTAGTACAAAAATTGGACGGTTTTTTTACTGCTGCTTGAAGCAGCTTAAGCATCTTTTTAGTATCAAAACTAATTTTTTTATTAAAAAACTGCTTCAAGAAGCAGTAAAAAGCGTCCCAAACGAAACCTAAATTTCAAAGTTCCTCTATCTGGTTAGTCTGTAATCTTCTTTGCTGTATCTTATTTTGTTGCTCGTCTTCTTGAATGTCTTCAGGTTTCAGCAATTGAGAAATCTATTTCCAGTAGAAAGAAGGTGCCTGAACTGCAGATTACCACATTAATAGAGCTGCTTATGAGACAAGCAGTCAAGCTAGATGGCATTGTTGCTGAAGGAGATACTTCCTTTCAGAAAACACTATTGGTATAATGTCTTTCTTTATTTTTAAAATATTTGTTTGTCTTTACTTATTTATGCGTCTGTGGCTTCTGTTACTCTTATCAAGCCCCTCATGTTTAAACTGTTTAATTAATATCTGTTCTTATCACAACATTGATAAGGCTTACAAAATCAAGCATGCCCAATTATTTGCCATCTTTTCCTGTGTAATGCTTTGGCAGCTTAGATTGGCCCCTCATGTTTCCCAACTTCATATCCAGCTAATTATAGAACACATGCTATAAGCATCAGTGCTATCAGATAATATCAGTCTTTTGCCGTTGGATTCTCTCGAGCACATGTGAGGGCAAATCTATACTTATTATTAAATTTCAACGTTAGGAATGTAGGATTTAATGAAGACGGAAAAATAATAATTTCATCGTCTCCGAAAGACATGTTAAATCATCGAGAAGAGTTATTTGAAGCCTACCGGAATCTATTGAAATGCAAAATCAATGTCTTCGATCTTCCACGTTTGAAGCGGCGTTCTCCAAGAGAGCAAAAAACCTCTTCTTTTCACTCAACATAAGAAATGAGGGAAATGAGAACTTCATCGTTTAAATTGGGACCATGACACTTTTATACTTTTAGTGTATTTATTTTTTATTTCAGCTCATCATTAAAAAAAATAAATACTTAACATCTGCACAAATAAATTTTTTCATATAAATTTAATTGAGATATCACATAAGCTAAAAAAATAATTTAATTCTTAAATAAATCACGAATTTAATTAGCTCAACTTTAAATAACGTCTAATGTATAATATTTATATTTATAAATATATGGCCCACATATAAAAATTTCACAATAAGAAAGTTTTCCTGGCTAACCACTCTACCTTTAGTTGGCCTCTCGGAGGAACAATTATTACGTCCTCCGACCGGATGCAGAGGAACATCCGGTTGTAGGCAAAATCCCGTCTATACCGAGGTGTACCGAGTTTTTTGGAAAAACTCGGTACACCTCGGTATAGGAGGGATTTTGCCTATGACCGAATGTTCCTCTGCATTCTTACACCGGACCAAATAAAAGTTCCTCTCGGAGCATTGAAGTACCTTGCATATATGTAGTTCTTTATGTGCTATTGTTTTTATTCGCTTGTTGAGTAGATGCCGCCATTATTGCTTGTACATCTTTCAGTGCCTTCGTCAGTTAACAAAAGAATCACTTTGTTTTACCATTTGTTTTTATGTTTTGCTGTAGCAAAAAGTAAGGCTTTGATACTTCTCCTCCTATCTTTTCCATAGTATATTTAGCACTGCTAATATATCTTAGAGATTGTAGCTCAAGCTTTTCTTGTATTCTGCTGTATTCCACTGCAGGCTAAGAGGGTACAGAAGTGCGTTGAAGCTCTTGATGTGCTCAAGTTGTCAAATGGAAAGCTAAAGACTGTGATAGTAACAACAAAATGGGAAACATTTGATCTTCCATCGACGGCAAACTTGGACTTGTTCTAACTCAGAACCGGGATTCTGGATTCATGTCTTGCATTTCCTGGCTTTGTGGGCTAAGGCTTCATTTGGGGCGGCTTTCTTACTGGTTCTTAAAGCAACTTTTTAGTATAAAAAATTTATTTGTTGTACTAAAAAGCTGTTTTAAAAAGCAGTAAGAAAATCGTCCCAAACGAAGCCTAAATCGATAATCTTCATGTGTCTATAGCATCCAAATAATGGATTAGCTTAATAAGAGTGCTACCCTTTCCCTGTTTTTTTTTTTTTGATCGAGCTATTCATTTTATTTTGAATTTTGATCGTTAATTCTGTTGATATGGGTATCTTTGTTGGCTATTTTGGGTATTAATTATGTTGGGTTATTTAATTGGGTCAAATTAAATAATTTATTGAACATCTTGAGACTCGTTTGATTGCTTGTACATATAAAACTAGAATCTCTAGGCAAGTATGTGACAATAAGAAACTTCTCATAATGGCTTCCTGAAGCCTAATCATGCTGTTATATTCACATCACATGATATAATCATTGTACTTTATAATAGGCTTACTATGATAAGATCATATTTTTCATAATCCATATTTCATTGTTCAATCAACCAATGAACCAATGAATAATGAGAACTGTGTTCTATCATATGCACTAAGGTTTTATTTGGGACGACTTTTTTAATGTTTCTTAAAGTAATTTTCTAGAAGAAAAATTAATTTTTTTGTACAAAAAAATTGCTTGAAGAAGCAATAAGAAAGTCGTTCCAAACTAGGGGTGTCAATTTTGGGTCACAAGTTGGGTTCGAGTCAAACCTGAAATTAGCCCGACACTATTTGGGTCAACTTGAACTCGACCCATTTTTATGCAAATGGGTTGGTTTTTCGGAACCGAACACGACCCATTTTGGGTTTGGGTCAACCCGACAGGACCCGAATGACCCAGGGCCGATAAAAAAGGTTCTAGTCAAAAAATGGGTCAATCTCCCAAAAATTTCTTAAACTAAAAATTTTTGAAAAAAAAAATAAACTATTTTAAAAAGAAGAAAGTTGTTTCAAATGAAGTCAAAGTTTGGGACAGCTTCCTTGCTATTTTTAAACTAGCTTTTTAGTATACTTTTTTTTAACTAAAAATTTTTGTATTAAAATGTTGTTTTAAAAAGCAATAAGAAAGTCATATCAAACAAAGCCTAAGTATATTAACCCAGTAACATGTCTAATAATATTTTACCAATTTGCTTGATATGAATGCTTAAAATATTTTTTTTAATAATTAATAAAGAAAATAATAAATTTATTTAATTGTATTCATCACTATGTGATACTTATAATCAAAGCCAAATGACATACAATAAATCTAATAGACTCACCACACATGCCGCAAGGCCTTGGATTCTTCATGCATGCCTTCAACATTTTACCATTCCTTTAAGTGAGCCAATTCTTCATTTGCTAAGTGAATTTGCCTCTTCAACTTGATTGTTATGGTGAAATGATAAATCTTGAAATACAATACTTAATAAATTATTTGATAACATTACATAGAGTTTATTATCACTGAATCAAATATTCGGATATATGTGAGCGTATTCGTAAAAAGTGGACATCGAATGATGGTTGACATTGGTCCATCATTGATTTATTTTTTCTCCTAATAGGCCGGGAAATAAGATATTTGGCAAGATGGGCGTTAGCCATTAATGTTTTATAGAGATTGAATGTTAATTATTTAAGGCATTATATAATAATTAATGAGAAACTTAAAGAGGCATGATATGGTTGGTGATCAAGTAGGTTGTTCTCTTGATAAAGGGGAGATCAAGTAACTAATATATTGAGTGTTTTACATATGTTGCTAATGAACCTTAGGCGCTGATCTTTGGCGAACAAGGCGATGGTGGGGTCTAGCTACTTGTGGGGTTATATTAATAGGAGGAGAGATAGATTACAAGGAATATCGAAAGAATTTAATATGTTTATCATTGTTAAGTGTAAGTAGAAGTCGATGAGGAATATCATATGTCAGGTATAGCAGGCATCAACATTGTTTAATTGACATAGTTCGATGGTGGTGATGACATGCAACAAAATTGGTTGATGGCAGATATCAAATAATGGATAACAAGTATGGTTGAGCATAACCAAAGTTGAGTCTTAATGTTTAAGTAAATCGAACTAAATCAAAGA